ATGCGAGCTCGCCAGCGCAAAAACGGCTTGGTACGCAATGTGTTAAATGAGTTAAGCAAGTGAAACCAACCAAAAAAAGGTAGCATTAATGTTGAAACGCGGGAGAGTGTACACGGGATCGCGCAAGGGACCCATAGCCAAACACGCAATCTCCACCGCTGGCGAGTGGTCGTTGTGGAATGTTTTCCGTAAGCCCACTTTGAAAATGTTCAGCTTCCTTTCTAGCGGCTTTCCAAGGTGAGTTTTTTGTTCAGTCACACTTTTATGTTCTTGACTAGGGCTAGTGCATCGTTTCACACCATTAGTATCAAGGTAAGAACTCTGCTGGTGCTGTTGCTTTAAGAGATAAATGTGGATGTTTTTGGGTGATCCTTTTTGGTTTGATCCTTTCGTAAAATTCTCGAATGCCTTTGATCAATGTCATGCAAGAACAAGCATGTCGTGCACTGAAATCCTGGCAACTGACGTCAAAGAACGACCTGAATGCTCTCCTACTACTCACCGTTCAACAGTCAACTTCCTAGTCGAATTGCTCCTGAGCCCGTCAAAGCACTCCATTCTCCCTGAGTTAGTCAGATTATACCAACCCTGTCTCGTAAAATAAGGACACCAATTTTTGAATCGCTTGTACACCAAAAGCCATTGTCGCAAATTTCAAACTAGTGTTATTTCAGCTGCACGACTGTCACCTGTAGGCAATTGGACATCAATGGTTATCGACTCATGCAATTCCACCGGCACCCAACCCATACGAAATGAGAAGTGCTGGCTACGTGGTCATAGGCATGGACCTTATCAGTACTTGTCCGTTGACGATCAGCAGCAGATCTGGACAGTTCCGGAGACACTGCTTTATAGGTGTGTTTTGAATAACAGGTTCAATAAATTAACACGTAATAGGATTGCATACGAAGAAAGCAGACGTTGTAGGGAAATTTTGCCACTTCCCAAAGTTTCTGAAGGTCAAGAACCTGTGGGAGAAGTGTTCTTAGGCCCTACTGACAATTCGAATTACACATAAAAGGAAAAAAGTCTGAATTGGATAAATGGTGTGTTGGTTGCGCCACGTATCCGACTTCCTTTCAGGGTCGTAATGGTGACTGATTGTGTTTGTCCTATACAACGAAATGTGGGTTCCCCCGATGATGCAAATGCCTTTTTAGCCTCCCGAACTGGCGCTAGCGATCTGATCCTCAAACGGCAGACTACCAGGAAGGTCTTTCAGGGCGTGACAAGCTTTTTGAAAACGGTCTTTTGCATGATATAGGGGCAGATGCGGGAACCACAGAACCATGTTTAATTTTTCCTGAACGGCCCTCTGAATACCAGAAAAGGGGGTCCCTAGTTCGATTCCTCTTGGTGACAAATTTTTGCATTTCGAGTTGACGTTCCAAAATTCGCGCAAAATGGAGTTCTGATTGTTCTGGTTGGTTCTAACTCCATTTTGCGCGAATTTTGGCACGTCAACTCGAAATGCAAAAATTTGTCACCACGAGGAATCGAACTAGGGACCTCCTTTTCTGGTATTCAGAGGGCCGTTCAGGAAAAATTGAACATGGTTCTGTGGTTCCCGCATCTGCCCCTATATCATGCAAAAGACCGTTTTCAAAAAGCTTGTCACGCCCTGAAAGACCTTCCTGGTAGAGGAGGGGTAATACGCCGGCTCTCTTGAGGCATGGGAGTCATTGGTAACCATTTGATGGCAGATGATTTGATGATGAAGAGGCAGCCCATTGAGAATTGATTTTAAGGGATTATTCCTCCATATCGATCAATGATGACTGTATTCATTGCAACTTTTGCTTTTTAGGCTGATTGCTTGCGGGGCCGAAGGTGGCTCGTTTCCCTTTCCAATCATTGGAGAACGCTGGCGGTTGCATAACAGTCGATATAAAACTGATAATTGGTACTAAACTAGAAATGTCGATCGGACAGAAAGGAGAATCGCCGTGTGACAAACACGTCAAGAGCTCTATGGTGAGTTTCCTTGGTAGGAATGGTGATGGATGGTTTTTATCGCTGCTTTTTTTCAGAAAGAGCAGGTTTTGGAAAGCTTATGCCATGGTCAAGATGCAGATAAGCGACTGAACGTGAGTTTCTTTTGAGAAAATATATATTAGTAAAAACGGAGTGGTAGATTAGGAACTCAGTAGACATACTACGACAGTACGACAGACACGCAAACAACAACATAAGGGTGTGAAAGATAGCGAGCTTATCACCATGAAGGAGTGACTTCAAGATGTTGTGGTTCGTGGATTGATAAAGTCGAAAATGTATGTTGGAAAATGTCAACAACTTTCTGGTTGTACATTTTTCACCCCACTGCAAATGCGCGTGGCTGCCTTAGAACGTGGGAATGATTTGCGGAAACTCCAAAAAGTCACTGCTTTCACCATCGAGAGTCTAATGCATAGTGTATACAAAAAATGCCGAATCGCCGCTAAAAATAGCGCTTAAAGGAAGCGATCACGAAGAGAGAGCCATCGGGAAGCATGTGCACCGCACGAATCAGTTACTTGGTTGCCAGGGAAGCGAGATGTGGCGCTTTCACAACGAAAGGTGCGCTGGTTGCTGAGCAGGACTTCGAAAGCGCTCCGCCCACTAGTTTACTTGTTGATTTGGACGAGCTGCGTGGCCAGCAGCGGCACAAATGGAGCATCTCGATTGAAGCGTGGTTTGGCATGGTGCCATCAAACGCGTTGCGGTGAACTCGTTCATACGTCCACTTTCTGAGCTGTTACCTGTTCATGAGTGAAAGCAACGGCCAGGTTACCGGCGTACCATTGTGCACCGCCACATCTCATTAAACCCTTCTCAAATTTACCGCGGCCTTTAAGGAAGAAAATCCATCAATAAATGAAGGCGATTCCAGGCATCGCTTGTGTATGGAGCAGGAGGCGGTGGTGCTACTACGGTGTCTGTGAATTCCGCTTACATTATTGTTGCTGGTGGTGGAGGTGGAGCCTATCCAACAGATTACGTCGATGGGAAACCGAACAAGTTAGTTGCTCATCAACGAAATTAAGATTTTTCTGCAAGAATATGCTGAAAATTTGGATTACCAGAGCATACCAGAGCATCGATTTTTTTCTAGGGAATAGGAAAGGTGGCGCGGTAGAAACCGCTGCCGTTACCCGTTTTGTTAAACAGATAGGATCCTGGCTTGAACCTGACCTCAACTAAGCGAGCCTGTCATCCCCCTAAGCCAGGAATCTGGCGAATTGCAACATTTTCAAGAAAAAAAAAACCGTTTTTGCCCAACATGACTTCCCTCAAGCAAGATTATTGCACATATGCTATTAGAACCAATACCACTGATTTCATGGCGTATCCCAAACACATCGATCACGGCTGAGCACTTCAGCAGTGCTTTTCTGTGGCCGATGTCAGACTTTGCGAATCGCGCGATTCGCGCGATTCGCTAGCGTCCGCGGTCGCGTTGCGGTACCAGCCAATTGAGTGATTCACTGGCCGCGACGCGACCGCAGACGCTAGCGAATCGCGCGATTCGCAAAGTCTGACATCGGCTCTTGTTCCACGAGATGGCTTCTTATGTAAGTTTGGTGAGAGCATAAGCATCTTGAATAAAGGCTAAGCATTTGTGTTCAGTGTCTGCGACTGACAATGAATTCAAGGCTGTCGCCCTACCTCAGGGTTCTAAGTATATATGTGGACCAGATGCTGCAAAAATTCTATCTAAAAGATTAAAAATTAAAAAAAAAAAGAAGAAATTTCCTCCATCAAATCCTGTGTAGGTAGCAAGAGGATTGAGTACAGTCGTTTAACTTTTTAGTCCAGCCGGCGGATTACAGAATGGAAAGCTCTCTCTGAAAAGCAGCGTTCATCCACATAAGCAAGCCGGGATTTCTGTGAGTCACAATTACTGCTAAAAGTTGGGTGCTTTCGTTGACGTTGCTAATTTCAGGTTTCTTCACCATCAAATCCAATGTGGTCTTGCGGTGGATTCCCGAATATTGGAGGAGTAGCCGTTCCATGCGAACCTGTAGCTGGTGGAGGAGGGGGATACTATGGTAGGCAGGGTTATCGTATAAGTCACGGCACCTTAGTAGGAGATATTTCCAGGTGGCCGAGCTATGACGCGAAATCACGGTTCTGGTGGAACGAGCTGGCTTGGTATCAGAACGTCCTCGTTCCAAATGAAGGCAGGAGTTCATAGAGGAGACGGACTTCTCACAATATGTTAGTTTTCTCTTCCATTTGACAATTTGGCTTTCGTTCCAATGAGTTTCGAGTCCAACTGATGCTCAGATGCCTGCCGCCTTCAATGTCCGCCGAGATCGACCTGCTTCTTCACAGATCTTGACTCTGCCGACCATATGGAATGTTTGTGCGAGTTCGGTGAAACAGTGTCTTCTTCTGGCACCTGCGCTCAGTCTCGTGGTTGGTGAAATTTGGGGAAATTCAATCCATTCATATGGTGCGCTCCAATGCCAATCAAGAGAGAACTCCATTATCTCTGAAATTCCCGCTCACTGAGCCAAAGAAGACGATTTTGTCAAACCCATAGCATGAATAAACTGCAGCTGAACTCAAAGCAACAGTACCAGCAGGGTTTTTACCTTCGACAATAATGGTTTGGAACGATATCGCTAGGCCTTCGCCAAGAATATTAACGTGACTGAACATAAAACTGACCTTTGGAAGCCGCTAGAGAGTGGGCGTGGTTGTGCATTCCCTCGGCCGATTCCAACCACGCCCACTTCGAAGCCGTTCAGCTCCTTTCTAGCGGCTTTCCAAGGTGAGTTTTTTGTTCAGTCACACTTCTTATGTTCTTGACTAGGGCTAGCGCATCGTTCCACACCATTAGTGTCGAAGGTAAAACCCTGCTGGGACTGTTGCTTTTAGGGGTGTCCCCCAAGAGGCCCATCGCGCGGCGAAGAAGAGACGCAGATGCGGCAAAGGACGAGTCGCAGCGCGTGCTGTGCGATATGAGACGTAGTATGGTACACTCTATTTAACCTGACGCCTAACCGCTACAGTATGCGCTGCGACTCGTCCCTTTGCCGCGTCTGCGTCTCTTCCTTCGCCGCGCGGTGGGCCTCTTGGGGGACACCCCGTTAGGCGTATCAAGCTTTCTAGCTGGGTATTATTTCGCATGGAAATGAACGTAGTTGTGATAGATGGTTTACCATTGGCGAAATAGAGCAAAAAATAAATGGATCTCTTGAAAGCATGGCGTGCTGATACTAGACATCGTAGACAGAGTTCGCGTCCCGCCATTATGGAATTCTCGCCGTCAAAGCAGAGCGCAATCCCGCCCCCCCCCACGATCAGCATGCTTTGTGATTTTAGTGATCGTTGGCTGTTTTTTTGTTTTCTCTCATTAGTGATGGGCCCACTGCAACTGCTTTCATTTTCGGGCATAAATAACTTACTTCTATTCCATTGCTGAATATGCCTTTAAACATGAGTGTGTAGCCGGCTAGACTTAAAGGCAAAGTTCGGGCTCAGACCCACTTAGTGAGCCTTTACTGTGGCTAGAAGCGCTAGGTACGCAAGTGCAGAGGTCGCGTCACTTCCCTACTTCGAAAAGCGTTACTTAGACGCTAGGCGCTAAGAACTTTGACACGCTCCACCTGTTGCGACACGCTCCGCCCACCGCTCGATATCTTGTCTGCGTCGCTATGTTGATCTGCTATGCTCTCTCTACTCGACTTCTCTAGCGCTCTCTCACATTCTCTCATCTCCCTGCCGGCCTTTTGAACTTCTCCGCAGCGTAGAGCAAAAGGCTCGTATTTCCTGTGTATTTCACGATTTTTTCTTTTTTCTCCACTGGCGGTCCACCTCCTACCCCTTCACATTTGAGTGGAATTACCTCATCAAATTAATCCTGAATCTTGCTTTTAACTTCGCTCCAGAATAGACCGCTACATTTGCGGTTGAAAAGATCTGAGTTCCGTCGTCGATTTCAGTTGTTTCGTTACTGATTCGGCGGAAATGGGCAGTTATGGCACTTTTCATCTGCACCTCCTTACTTCTTGCTGGTCTTGTTCGATGTGAGTCTCGAATGATTGATATTGTTCTAATGGAAAAGTTTTGGACAAATTGGTCGCAATCGGCCCCGGAGAAGAATAAGCCAACTGTGGGACATGAAAGTTTGCTCTAGAGCTTTCTGAAAATGAGTAGTGGCTAATTTTGCGATTTTCTGATTTTGCGAGCGTTGTGGTCGTGATTCATTGGACCACCACGAATTACTGTAGGATATTTGTGTTGGTTCCAGTCCTAGGTTGTATTTTTTCTGTTGATTTTAGCCTAGGATTGTATTTTTTTCAATAAAAATACTGGTATTTTCACATAGTTTAAAGTTGACTAAAGTTAGTTTTGATACAGCTTTCTATTAAATTCTTTGCAGGTGCTAGAAGGTGCGCTAAAAGGCGGCCAACAGCAGCGGATCAGATCAAGTTATTAGTGATGGTAAGAACAATCTGGGTGTAGTATGGATGGAAAAATTTAATATATGGATTTTCAGAAATCGGATTACAAAGACATTGACATTGGGGAGCCGTACTGGGATCAAATCGCCTCACTTCCTTGCCTTCCGTGGGATGATATTGCCATCGGCAGGTGAGGAACCCTCTTACGATTTTCTGCTCGATAAGCAAAATCTATCTTAAAGGAAGTGGTCACGATAATTTTCATGGGAACGATAAGGAAAGCTATGTATTGGAGTGGATAGGGGTCCTGCCCAATGTTAGAACACGTGAAGTTTCAGTGGCAGTGGCGCCTTATCAACGGAGTGATAAGGCGCCGAAATCCACTTCCGTTCAGCAAAAACCAAGACTTATCGATGTGGAAAGGGGTGCGATAAGAGCGTGCTAGATATGATACCGTTATCGTTATCGTCCCGTTTTCATTCTGGAGTGCACCTCTTATCAAGCAGCCGCACCTTCTTATCTCATCGTATCATATCTTCCATGGGCTTACACTCGTCCAACAATTACTGCCTCACACCTTATCGATTGATAACGCGAGGGTAGCAAATCCAGCGTGGAAGCCAGCGTGATCGCTTCCTTTAAGTACTGAAGCCTGCAGTGACAAGGACCCGTAAGATAATCGTATCCCACTGCGTACCGTGTGCCGCGCATGGTGCGGCGCGCTGATTTGCCTCTTTGTGGTCACGTGTTGCACATGGTGCATCACGGTTTTTTAAGAGGATGGCTCACATTTTCTTATTTTCTAACCTTATGGAAATATAGTGCCAAATAAAGAACAACAAAATACAGACGTGTAATTGCGCCATATGAAGGAAAGGCTAAAGTAAAGGCTTTTGTTGCGAAAATATTAGTTGCACTTCTAATTTTCTTCTCTTTGTAGTAGGATAGAAACACCACCTCTGTAATGAATTCATAGGCATAGAACAGTAAAAATGGCTTCATTCAAACCAGCGGCCAAACGGCGCTGTCGTCAAAGTGTTAAGGATAAAGCATAAAGTAAAGCATTTGCCGTTGATCAATCCCTTTTGGGATGCGGCACGCATTCTACTTCCATTTGTACATTCGTAGTGGCGTTTGAATGCGATGTGGCCTATACAATGACTTGCGGGGGCCAGCCGATGTACAAGTCAGTGTTTTTATCCTCCCAGACAAGTCTGGTACCAATTAACCGACCCCGGAGGGATGGAAGGCTTGGTTGGCCCGGGCGACTCACGACCCAGGATTTGATCCCCGGACCGCTCGCGTGGTAAGCGTGCCACTTGCCACTACACCACTTCCGCCCCGTCATTGTCAAAGTGTAGAAGGAACAAAGGTGTTTCGTTAGTTGAGCATCTTCGTTTTCCAAATTCCATGCATGGCGTAATCCATGTTTGGACTGACGCAGAGAAAATTACGCAGACGATCCCTCAACATGTTGCACTATTTCCAGCTGGTCCAAGAAGTGAATTTCTGCTCCAAAATGTACATTAATTTGATGACGTTTAAAGCGTCTAGAAAGACAACCTTACCATGTTCATTCCAATTGCGACAAAGCCTCTGGAAGTTAAGGAGTTTCCGGCAAAACTGACCTTTATTCCTAAAAAACCATGTAACCTCCCTTCAAAAAGCGAGAAAGTGTCGGGTGCAGACCAAACACCACAACTGACGACGGCCTCCAAGTAAATCTGGTTAGAAGTTGTTCATAGTGATAGCTGATTTTTGGTAAATGATAGTTGTAATTAGTGACAATGATAGAATACAACTGCAACAGGCTAATCATTTCATTGGCAGAAAACATTAACATTTTGTGAAGGCCGTCGTCACTTGTGGTGCATGGTCTGCACCCGACACTTTCTCGCTTTTTTGGAGGGTAATTGAGTGCTACGCTTTCGGCTGTGACACCATTTTTCCTCCATCATTGAGATACAGTAAAACGAGGAAAAAGGGATATACTTACAGTGATGAATTGTTATTTTAGAGAAATTGGAACGGGCGCATTCGGAAACGTGCACGAAGGTCGAACAGCGGATGGACAAATATTCGCCGTGAAAACAATATGCATGAATAAGAGCACGTCAGCCGAGGCTCAGCGCGAGTTCGCTTTCGAAGCGTTATTTATGCAGTATGTCCCTTAATAAGTTAAATTTATTTACAAAAGTAGTTGGGTTCTTCTCTCCTGCTTGAGGTGTGTAGCATGTGATCACAAATTTGAACCAAATGTGAGGGACGTGAAGAATTGCAGGAGAATTCTCATAACTCTCGTATCGTTGCTCAGAAACCAACCCTCAAAACCCTTTTCTACGGCATGAAGACAGGGACGAAGACTGCGGGGTGGCTCTTCGGACAGCCCATTGTGTATCTTCATGCACGGTAAAACATACGTAGAAGTTTTCTAGCAGGAGAGGATCTGAATAAGTATCCCTCGTAGTGGCTGGTCAGAGGCTTCTCATAGTTAAAAACATAATCACACACGGCTCGAATCGTCTGTATCACCTATATCCGGCTTTTCCTCAGAAACCCAGCCATTCACGCAAGTCGTCTTTGAGCCATCCATCCCGGTCCTGTGCATGTTGTCTCCACTGTTGGCTGAGCATTTTCACCACGGCTAAAATGCGATGTAAATTCCAGCAAATTCAATCATCCCAATATTGTAAGGCTTCACTGGATACAGTGGGATCCGCCTCGATTACGTATTATTCTCGAGTTTATGGGTGGCGGAGATTTGCGGTCATTCTTAAGAGAAGCTCGTCCAACTCAGGTAGGTAACTTGTGACAGTATTATTTTTACAGGGTGGTCCAAAATTATGAGGACCAAGACATTGTGTCGTTAAAAACGCATAGTAGCTTGATGGAACAAACCAACTTTGGGAAGTATTTGTAACTCTTACCTCAAAGTAATTCCAGAATAGAATTGAGATCTGCCACCTGCCCCGTTACACGAGCCTTCAGATGAAGGGGATGGCGCGTGCGGTGGCACGCAACTGAGGCGTGTCCAAATGTTTCCAGGCCTTCTGCTCTGCCTTCTTCAGGGAATCAAACTTTTGTGTTGCATTTATTTGCGCTTGCATCCAGGGTGTGAAATACAGAAATCTAGAGCTATTAGGTGGATGGTTCCATTGTAACAATTCTTCGAAAGCAACGAACTCGAAAAATCGCTTTTGGAGGATTTTTGCTTTATTCTTGGGTGCTCGGTCCTGTAAGAAGTTCTAAGTAGACTACTCGTGTGGCTTTCTATCCACTACAGATGTGGAGTCTTTAGAGTGTCTGGCTGGGTTTTCACATCAATTTTTTCATTTTGGGTGTACGAAAGTCGACAAGGGGAGACCTAGTTTCTGCATCTGATAATTATCCTGGTGGTAACTGTAACTTTCGAGTCCCCGAATTTTCCATCTGTGGTGGTTCCAAACTTATTGAAGAGTTGAACTGTTGCTCATAAGGGCTTCTCTGATAGGTTAGACTGCTGCTAGATGTAACGTGCCAGAGCCCCTAGTGAGTTCAATTTGAGGACTGACTCAAAGTGAAGTAGTTATTTCACTAGTTTTGAGAACTTCATGAAATTTGGTTTCATTAGGAAGAAGACATTGTACCCTTTCACATAGTGCACAGAAAACGAGATGAAAATGGAGCGATACGGAAAAAAGTGGATATGACTGCGCGCGCACGCGGTCCTCATAATTTTGGACCACCCTGTATAATGCCCGAATGTATGTGTTGTTTCAGGATGATTTGAATCCTTACGATTTGCGTATTCTGAACCTGATCGAAATAGCATTAGACATAGCTAGAGGTGAGTACCACACTACGTAGTCATAATAATACTGAAAATACGCAGAACGATTTGAACGTTACATGAATGCATACATTGAATGCTACAGCTTTCAATCCATGAAGGGTTGGAGCAGCCCGATGAGAGGGATGGAAGAGCAGGCACTGATCACCTGTGAAGGATTTGAGTTGTACGTGAAAATATTAGCAGCAGCAGGCCTCCTGAAGGCAAGCTATAAACGAAACCCTGGGAAGTGCTAAAAACCCGAACTTGTGACGCCAGCACTGGGATATGGTGTCGCGCCACCCGAACCTTTTACCTCTAACGCTTTTACAATCAAACGCTATTGCACGTAGGGAAAGCATCGTACGTTCCTAATTGTCCAGTCTGGGGTCATTGGGGCGCTTGGAGCTATAGCTTGTCAGAACATGGCGGGCTGCTGCAGGGACGGCTAGGAAGACTGTTTTGCTGCCGACTGACTACTGACGACTGACACTGATTACGTGTGACTAGCATGGCTGAGCCCTTTTATACACTTGCCAGCAGGCCCTCTCCACCGTCCGTTGGGTCTGCCCTTTACAGTAACGTGCGCTTTCGCGACAAGCGTATGGCGTCCGGCAGAAACCAGGACACCCTTCAACTCTACCCACTTTCTGCTCCAAAATAGCCGTCGAGCGGGTGGAGGCAGAGGCGATGAACAGAAGGAGTCCAAATTATTTATTCTCTAATCATGGGCGCTATAGTCAGTCGCTATTGGCGTAAACCAAACAGCACGGCTTAGAAAATGGCACCTTTCAGACGTCCACCGTAGTCTGACCCATTTTGCTTCAGGATGTCAAGAGCTGAATCGTCAAAAGTATATTCATCGAGATCTAGCGGCACGAAATTGTCTGCTCACGGAGAAGGGTCCAAATAGAAGAGTTAAGATTGGCGATTTCGGCATGGCAAGGGACATCTATGAGTTAGTCCCACACAATTCTATGCTTATATTTTCGAAATGATCTGTATTTCTTTCAGGAATAATTACTATCGCAAAGGTGGTCGCGCCAAGCTACCGGTGAGGTGGATGCCTCCAGAGGCCTTTCTTGATGGGCTATTTACAACACAAACCGATGTTTGGTCGTTTGGTCCGTTGTTATAACTTTGACGATAATTTGGAAAATCAAAGCAAGATCTAGACTTGGCGTTTGAATAAACGTTCATAGAAAAATAAACAATATGTCACACCCAATGGTTTTTAAATAATTTTTTGTGCTCGTATAAAAGAACCAACTAGAGAAGAGCTTTGAAGGAGACCTTTGGGGCCCCTGCTAAACACAGGGTAGCGGGGTCCATCGCGACTCAGGGAAAAAAGCAAAAATGTCACGACTCCATTGAGAAGGTCTTTATACTCCCCCAATCAGCCATGGGAATTCCCCAAAACGACCGCCGCACCGTCTTCCACCGCCACCCTCATCATCATGGCTGCTTCTGTAATGCTGACAAACCTTTTAAAGAGGAATTCACGAAAGAAAGGGAAACTGACCTAGTTGAGGGACCCACGGACCTCCTGAGGGTGCGAACTGACGCGCAATTCGCATGGAAAAATTTGACCTCGGCGACCTATCATGCCTCAAAGCTGGCGGGTCCGGCGATCTCCGCCCACCGATCATCTGATCACTCGCCGTAGTTCAATACGTGGCGAGTGATTAGATAGCTGAGAGAGCGTAGTGTTGAAGAGGGCACAGCGATGAGAGTCGCATCAATGCTCGAATCAACGGGCAAGGAAGGGGTCCATTTCTCGGGTTCTGGGCCGTTTCTCATGGTTCTTCCTTCTTTCGTGTACCACTCACCATCCCTAGGTTAATTTGAAATGGGTTGCTTTTCATCGTGAATTCGTCCTTTAAGCAGGCTGTCGAGCGCGCAGGGCGTAGGGGTTGCAGCCGGGAGGAGGGAGGGAGATATGAACAAAGAAGCGAGAAATGCTCTAAGTTTGTCCATTTCCCACGTTTCTAGAAGTTTCGCAGAATGTCACAAAATCGTCAAAACCTTCTACTCCTCCACCATAGCACGACCCCCAATATCCATGCCCAATACCGCCTCTGACAACCTCAAATACGACTCCTATGTGATCATCACCAACACAAAAGCCAAAATACGACAGCTCTGAAAACCCCAAATATGTAAGATCCGCCGGGTAAATTACTAACGGATTGACCTCAGTTAGCGGGACGAGGCGGTGTGGTGGTGCTAGACATTGCGCGCAGATCCACTGCTTTCGACGTGCCTCTAGAAGTAACTGCGTCTTCATGTTGTGGTAGAAGAATAATCGAGAGATCTTTATCAAAGATTAATTATTCAGGGGTTGTTCTATGGGAAATCTCCTCGTTCGGTATGCTTCCATACTTTGGCGTCGACAATTTTGACGTGATGGGATTGGTGACAAGCGGTGGAAGATTGGATCCTCCGAACACTGTACCTATCGAGGTAAGTATGAGTTTCAGGAAATAAATACAGGCAGTTTCTGATGGCATACTATGCACGGGTAGTCGTGCTTGAAAATATTAGAAATGGTCAAGATGGGGCCACCGAAAGTGCTTAAAACAAGGCTACCTGATTGAGGTACTGGATTTGGTATGTGCGAGGGCAGTATTCAGATACAGTGATACAGAAGGCAGTGATACAGAAGCTGTTGTTCTCTACGGTCATATGGGGAGAGGATGTGGAGTACCCGACAGGAGGCCCGTCGCGCGGTAACAAGGCAGAGTCAGCGGACGAGTTGCAGCGCATACTGTAGTGATTTCGCGTCAAGTTAAATAAATGTACCATTGTACGTCCTATATCACACGCGCTGCGACTCGCCCGTTGATGCAACCTTTTTGCCGCGCGACGGGCCTCCTGTCGGGTGCCCGCTGATGTGGGATTGCTCTCATGACAAAAATGTCACAGTGCACATACGCGCTGTAAATCAGGAAGAAGTCCCATGGAACCTCCTAAATTTCCTTGATAAACAAGCTGGCCCTTGACGCTGTTTTCACCGTTATAAGAATGTGAAACGTTCAATTCCGCCGGAAGGCTCTACTACTTATTGCTCGCTATTCGAGTAAGTGGCTTATAGACTGCATGGAATGGTAGTTTTAACAAATGAGTAAGCCTAAGTGCACTTCGAATTTGGTTACTATAGCCCACAATCCAGATGCGCTACCCTCTCCGATGTCGGATAGTACGTACATGCTAATGGTAAAGACTGGATTTCTCGAAATGCATGTGAGCGGTAATCTTGCGTCGGTGGGGCACCAACTGATGGCCCACACTAACAACTGCACGAACGAAGCTTCAGGGCGTTTCTTGGCCGCATACGGCGTCGGCCATATCGCAGTGGCAACCTTGTGCTTCAACAGAATTGATCGCTTGCGCATGGCACCCGAGAAATGTTCACCTACTCGGAATGACGTAGTATAGAAAAATTAGGCCTGAAAATACCTCTCAGACAAAGCAAAAGGAACACTTAAAATCACCCGCAAACGAGTAAAGGCAGCCGCGGTTGCAGCAGTCGAGTTAAGGTCATGTTGCGCACTTCTAAGTCGCGACTATGCCATGACTTCTAGGTAAGGAACCCTACCACATCACCTCGCAGAAATCGTTACTCTTCGGATCTACATAACTATTACTCATGTCTCCAAGTTTAGCAAAGTGTGATTGGTCCAGTCCAGAATTTTAGGGAAAAAGACGTATATTTGGGGGTGCGGGACTTTTGGCTCGTCCGGACTGGTCACGCGGCGAGTTCCGCGGCGGCACGCGCGGCGATCTGGACGGACAAGGCTTCGCGGTTTCTTCGGGTAGAATTCAACACGTCAATGCGCGTGCAGGATTGCAGATAAACTCCACATGGTTTGCTGGTTGAACTTTCTTTCGTGCGGGGGTTGAAGCAGCGTATCGGTGAGGAGAGTCAGGCAGGAGTTTGATTGATGGACGGATTATGTAAATGATATCATGCAGTCGGAAGTTATACGAGTCACTAAAATTGGGAGTTTTTGTTGAGGTATTTAACGTCAACTATATATGTTTTGCTGATTCGAGGCGCTCACGTCCAAAGGAGAAACATTCGAAACAAAACAACAAAACAGGGTCGACGGTAGATCACTTGGACTAGGCCCAGCACAGGAGCAGCGTGAGGGAGAACAATACTTTCCTCAGGATCCTTTCCTCCTAAGTCTAGCGTCCAAACCTAGTGATTGCCACTCGCTTTCCCCTTAATTGGAACGTCCCCCCCCCAAAGACATGAGCGCCCTGATTGCCGTAACAGCACTACGCTAGTTCCTTCTTATCTCTTTCTACTGTTACAACCACCGCTGTCCTCAAAATTCCAGCCGTTCAGATGTATTTCGTATTGCAGAACCTTGCGGATTTTATCCGCAATCTCCACACGTTGACGTGTTGAATTCCCGCGATGCGTCGGGATCGCCGCGCCGCTCGCCGCGCAATTTGCCGCGTGCTAACCGAGCCCAGGCAAGAGTCCTGACGTATATTTTCCCATTCGGAGAGAATAATTACGAGTTAACTGAAAAGTAACAAGGAAATTCTTCGAGCTCAGCGTTAGTATCTATTTCTACTAGATTTTCTCTTATGATATTATAATTATTCCTCAGTGCTCTTTAAGACAGGTGAAGCACTCACCATTCATTAATCTCTTCATGGGATGCGCCACATGTCTCAATTCTAGACTCCCATTTCCACTTGGATGCGAGTTGGCCAACCATGACTTGCAGTGATCACTTGATTGAGGCGTCAACGTCTTTATCCGCCCAAATTTATGTGATATCAATTAGTGAAGCTCTAGGTATGAACGACTAGTTAATCTAGACGGCGTGCGATTCGCGCTCCAATCTTCGAACAATGCGCGTGATGAACGACTTCCGCCCTCAATCGGTTCAAATTGGGTTCCTCTGATGCATAATATTTTTCGGTAGCACATGTCTATTTTAGCTGCACGACTTAATGCGAAGTTGTTGGAACACAAGAGCTGAAAATCGTCCATCGTTCACAGAAATCGTTGCTATACTTGAACTTCTTAGTCAGGTATATTACTAAATTTACCCCATCTAAAAGTGTGTATATAATTGAAGTCATCGGATTCAGAGGCAAGAAATAGTGGACATGCCGATCAACTGCTTCACTCCGTTGCCGTCTACTCTAGTCTCACCGGTGGGAAATTCAACACCAGCAATGCCACTGCCCTCACCTTCGATAGTGGGCACTCCTTGCACAGCAGTGACAGCACTCAGTCCTGGCACGCCCGAAACAACAACAGGTCAGTAGAATTCTGGATTGTCTTTGAGCGAAGATAGCGTTGTGGAGCTACTTCACTGCGTCTTGCGGTTTTAACGATAAGGATCAAGATAATTGCGTTGATGAAGATGTGCTGAAGTAAGCAAACCAGCCCTTTTGGCGTTTCTGCTGGGGCCGTATGCTGAATGTTGGGGAGGGGATGGGGTCCCCGACGGTCGACGGACTACTTCAACTCGGTCCAAACCGCCACAATTTGGTGCTTACCTCAGAACTAAGCCTTAAAAAGAGGAGGACGGGTCCGTCCCCTCTCCAAGGCTTAGTCCTGGGGTGAGCAAACCAGCCCTTCTGGCGGAGCTGCTGGACCAGCTGCACCACTTGCGTCATACTCTCCTACCGTACCAACCGAGTTGAAGTAGTCCGTCGACCTCGGGGACCCCATCCCCTCCCCAACATTCAGCATACGGCCCCAGCAGAAACGCCAAAAGGGCTGGTTTGCTTACCTCAGAAGTGCTTATGGAGCGTTCACAGTTGGCGTGTGTGCGATCAGGCTATTGCGATTAGGTGATCCACAATGGGCGGAGCAACAACTCGGTACTTATCCTTCTCTTATCGCCTACTCGCCTACGTACGATCGCCAAGTAAGAAAGCTTCATCAGGCTGCGATAATATTTCCATCCGAAGTAGTTTTTGATAAGAACCCTCTGGGCCAGTGGAATGAAGACGAGCTACGATCCTGGGTCAAGAACTGGAAAGGGAAGAAGAGATGGGGCATGGGAGGAGCTCATGCTTGTGGTTTGACCACTTAGCACGTGCGAAGATTTGGATTGAATGTTAGATTTGGAGCGCTAAAGAGTTACCTAAATGAGCGTGATATCAGAGTTCTCATACTTGCCGCTGAAGGTGTGCTTGAGTCGTGAGGTGCAATTGTGTGCCGTTTTCACCAAAACTTCGTCATTATCACTTTTGAGAATTTTTATTTCACCGGTTCATCAACTTTATGAAAATCGTTTCGTCAGAGGTCAGGCTGCCGTTTGGAATTCCCTTTAGGATTTGGAATTTCGATGAGTGGTGTACCGTACACTCCGATAAATTCTGAAGCATTACGAGAACTGCATGCGGAGAAGTCGATGAGGAATGATCCGGCTGCAGTTTCGGATTCAGGTAGGACAGCTATAGTGCTACGAGATTATTTATTTATTTATTTATAATGGTCAATCACAGAATAAGGCATGGCACAGTTGCAATCACGTAATTCAGAGCCGATTGACTTTTCTTAATACAATAGTTAGGGTAAGGTTAGTGAGATAAAACACCATAAGATTAGAATTCATAGAGAGAATTGGACTTCATCATATTCATACTTTCGCGTGGTCCTCGCCTCTGCGCTCCGTGATCTGTGTGGACTGTAAGGTTGACGGAACTCACGAGATAAAGAGTTTGAGCGAGGAGTGGTTTCTGTTCCAAAGCTTGTTTCGGCAATGAATAGCTCGACTGTCGAGGACAATCCTTTTGCAGTCTAGAAATTCTACTGAGTCTTCTTCTTCTTCTCCCTAGCGTTAGTCCCGCGCAGTCGCAGGGTCCGCTGTCTTTGTCAGTCGTCGCCACTTTGCTCTGTCCAGGGCATCTTCTGCTGTGGCCGTGACTTCACTTAGGTCCTTCTTGATTACGTCTCTCCACCTCTTCTTTGGGGCTCCTCGCGGTCGCTTGCCTTGCACTTCGAAGTCCATCGCTGTTCTTATCGTATGGTCCTGTGGCCTCCTTAGCACCTCGGGAGGTACATTGAGTAGCAGAGAGAAACTTGTCCCGCTTTCTTGAAACTGAGAGCAGGACTTTTTGCACATAACTGTTATCGATAATCTTTTCAGGCCTAACCAGTGGCAACATTTTCGACAGCATAGCAACGGTGAAAGATGCGCTATTTGGAAATCGAGTGAGTGATTCTGGTTTTCAGATGAAAAGTGCTTGCTGCCTCTGATTTCGAACAGTGGTTATAGGGGTAAATAAGTTGTGTAAGCACCATTAGTCAAAGGGTTAAATTTAGTTGGGTAGACTGAGTGAGGAGGCGCAGCGAAGGATATCATTGGGCAGGAGGGATTTGGTCGAGGGTCAACCGTTGTGTTGTGGCAATGTTGGGATTCCCGTCCTCCCTCTGGAAGGGTATTGATTCGAGCACCACCGTCCTACCAGCCTTGAAGAGCTCCTCTCGATAGGACCTTCACAGCTGCCCTCACTGCCATGGCTGCTACAGTGCTCGATAGAGACCAGTCGACACGCTTCAGGTTGCGAGGTGGAAGTAAGCAAACCAGCCCTTTTGGCGTTTCTGCTGGGGCCGTATGCTGAATGTTGGGGAGGGGATGGGGTCCCCGACGGTCGACGGACTACTTCAACTCGGTCCTTAGAACCGCCACAATTTGGATGCTTACCTCAGAACTAAGCCTTAAAGAGAGGACGGACCTCCTCTCCAAGGCTTAGTCCTGGGGTGAGCAAACCAGCCCTTCTGGCGGAGCTGCTGGACCAGCTGCACCACTTGCGTCAGTACTCTCCTATCGTACCAACCGAGTTGAAGTAACCGTCGACCGTTGGGGACCCCATCCCCTCCCCAACATTCAGCATACGGTCCCAGCCGAAACGCCAAAAGGGCTGGTTTGCTTACCTCTGCGAAGTGAGGGGGGAGGGGGGTGGGAAGTGTGTGTGTCTGAAAAAATGGCAGCTGCTCTGATTTTGCCTATGTCATGCATTTTTCGTGAGATCGGCAAAATTGACAAAAAAGCTCGTCAAAGCGAGTCCCTCTTACCTCCCCTACAGTTCTACCTCTCAACTTCCCCGCTACGGCCCTCTCTGAAAAACTCGGATACGACCCCCTCTTCAATCAGTCACAATGCGCGAAATCAAAATTACGCCCTCTTTTCAAAAAATTCAAAATACTGCCGAATAATAATGTTTGTGCACTGCACCTTTACCTCTGCTGTGAGCTTCAACCTCAACGAGCTGTGCCTCCTCAGCTCCTAACCTTTCGTACTCACATACTCTATTGGCCGATACGAAAACTTACAGTGGTTCTGTAGGATTGGCTGTAATTGTCTGCCACTGGTAGCCTTCTGATTCT